CTTTGTTCTGTTCAAATGATTTCCCCCCCCCCCCTCTTCAAATTATAATTTCGTTCCCCTCCCGTCTCGCCCCCGCAAGACTATTAAAAACACGCCCCCCCCCCCCCGCGCCCTCGCCGCGTGCCCGGCCGCCAGCTGCTTCCGGCGTGCACATAATATTACCCCGCCGCCCCCCCCCCTTCTATTTACTTCTTCCTTTTTTTTTTCTTTTTTCTTTTTTTTTTTTTCTTTTTCTCTCTTTTATATTCTATTTGACTTTTTTTCTTTATTTCCGTGGAATTAGGGTTGATTAAATAATAAAATTAAATAATAGTAGTAGATTTTTTTTCTATATATATATATATATATATATATATATATGAGAGAGAGAGAGAGAGAGAGAGAGAGAGAGAGAGAGAGAGCGTGCGTTTAATATGTTACCTGAGAAACGATTGAGAAGGAGATTAACGGTCTTGTCGTTGGGGGATCTTTTAATGTTGAATGTGCTGAAGAGGGGAGAATATGATTCTTCAAAAGTGAGGGTGGTCACATTGAAAGCGATGGAGGTGGTGGCGGTGGTGCACACAAACAAGAAAATACAGATAGGTGCATAAATATTTGTTTTCAGCGGAGAATACATCAGGTGATACATTTTGCATTTTCTTATTTTCTTTTTGGTGGGTTCTCTTGCTTTCTCTCTCCTATTCAAAATTTCTCTTTTTTTCTTTTCTTCTCTTTTTTCAGAAATAATGTACACCATCGAAAAAAAGGTGGAACATCTAAACACAGGTCTCTTTGAAGTCTCATCCTCCTTATATATTTATCCACTTCTCTTTCAAATAATATAATTTATGTCGAGTTAATTGCGAAAATTAAAATCATGACAATTCGAATCGCTGAAAGGGTTATTTTAGTTAGCCCCTTAAGTTGAAGTTTCACTATGTTTGTTTTGAGAAATTTACTACGTATTAATGTACCGATTTATTATTCAAAAACTCTTCCAAAATTATATTCCAGAAATATTTCCTCAAGTTTCATATAACATAAGTTCACCTAAAAAATAACG